TACACGGAAATTCCATTCTTGTGTTCCTCACGATGAAGTCTCATACCCATGAGAACATTGCACAATTTTGAATATGCATAAAGCCTTGAAGAAAAAAACATGGAAGGTTACCAAGAGACCGTAATGAATGTTCTAACCAGTATCCAAATTGTGTGCTCTCTGTTGGACACAACTTTGTCAGTTTCTCCTCTAAGGGCATTTCTGGTTTTAGCTGAAACAAAGTGCAAACTACTATCTGTTGACTAGCGACAAATGCGAGTGAATAATAGAGTGAAAGATAGTTTATGTCAAAACTTTCTAGTGCAGCGATCTGTAAGAGATGAGAGAAAAATGAACAAAGATCAAGATGTACTCACTCCGGTATGGTTATGCGATTTTGACGATACTATGACTATCCTAGCTTGCGATTCCCTTAGCTGTGGCAGAAGCTCGCGAACGAGATACTGATGAGCGACGTGATTTACAGCAAATGTAGTTTCTAATCCATCAATAGTCATCTTTTGGTCGGGAAATAGTAAACCCGCATTGAGAATCAGAGCATGCAGAGGCCTGAAAACTGTCAAAAGCTCTAAATAGAGAAAGCATTTTGGTTTATCAAGGCAGAAAGTTTAGAACTCAAAACTTACCAATTTTTACTTTTAAACTCCTTCGCTGCTGCTTGAACTGACTGTAGGGAACTCAAATCGCAGATTATTATGTCGATCTTTGCGTCAGGCTGCATAATAAAAAGAATTCAAGTCATGAAAAAAAAACATCATTCAGTGGGTTTTTGATGCAGCTACAGGAGCAACTTTGCGGTAAAATAGGTAACCAAGCCTAATCAACACTTTGTGGCGATTTCCACTGCAGCACTCCAGGTCCTCAAAATCTTAGATTTCGCTAAAACTTTGCACAGAGGGATAATGCATGCTAATCACAAAAAATTATAATCATCTCGCACGGTAGCGTTCCATTGAAGACGGCAGGTGTACGGTAAAAGGCGGAATCAGGATTTGCCTGAAGATTGGCATAATCGAGTAATTTGACGTGTTGTTCACAAAAATATTATTGACTTCGTACGCTAGGCCCCTTCGGTAGGCTTACAGTAGGTAAGCGGAGAGTCGAGATTATAGTTTGGCCGTTGTTGTCCACCTACCGTGAGCCCACTAAGACCTTATCGTGCGTGGTGTGTACCATACTCTTGGAGCATGTCGAATTACACTAGAGCACTATTAAGGCAATTCCCAATCTATCTCCCTGCCGTATATTATCGTAATTGTAGAGTAAGGCTGTGTTATTCGCAGCCAGCATGTCGATTAACCCCATTAGGAAAGTTTTCAGGCAAATCTGTGACCTCTCTCCTACCGTACACCTATCGTACCTCTATAACAGGGCGCTACTGTGCGGAGTAGATACATTACTTTTGATTATTATGTCAGATAACCCCTCTGGACGATCTTTGAGGGAAATCCAGAATTTTGGGATGTTGGAGCGCTTCAAGTGAAGTAGCACCACTGTATGAACTTTATCTTCAAAACTTGACTGAGCAACTTTGGCAACTCGAATCGCAATTGTTACGGTGTTGATGAAAGCAATTTCAAAAACTACTGAGATTGAAGTTTTTCAAATCATACCTTCTCAGCTAGTAGCTTATTCTTTAGTGCTTCC